ACCTGTAATTTTCTAATGTTAAATTCAGATAAAACTGAAGTTATTGTTCTGGGGCCTAAGCACCTCCGTGACGCATTATCTAAAGATATAGTTTCCCTTGATGGCATCGCCCTGGCCTCCAGCACCACTGTGAGGAATCTTGGAGTTATCTTTGATCAGGACATGTCCTTTAGCTCTCACACTAAGCAAATTTCAATGATCGCCTTTTTTCACCTTCACAATATTGCAAAAATCAGGAACATCCTGTCTAAAAATGATGCAGAAAAACTAGTCCATGCATTTGTTACTTCTAGGCTGGATTACTGCAATTCCTTTTTATCAAGTCCATTAAGACTTTGCAGCTGATCCAGAATGCTGCAGCACGTGTTCTGACAGGAACCAGGAAAAGAGATCATATTTCTCCTGTTTTAGCTTCTCTGCATTGGCTTCCAGTAAAATCCAGAATAGAATTTAAAATCCTTCTTCTCACCTACAAAGCTCCTAATGGTCAGGCACCATCTTATCTTAAAGAGCTCATAGTACCTTACTACCCCACCAGAGCACTGCGCTCCCTGAATGCAGGGTTACTTGTGGTTTCGAGAGTCTAAAGCTGTGTCTCAATTCAGGGACCGCATCCTTCGAAGGCTGCATTTGAAGACCAAATACGTCACAGTCGATGTGACTAGGCTGTCCCATTTCAAAGGCTCCTTCAAATGCAGCCTTCTTTTCGTCCGTTTGCAGGATCCAACAGCTGGATCCTTCGCAGCCCCAGGTATCCCGACATTCATTGCGCGCCGGTTGATTGTCCCAGCGTAAATAATGGCGTAGGCTGTGGAGCTGAGCCCCCCCGGATTTTACCTATAAATGTAAGTATTGGATTTCAACTCACTTCAAAAGCCAACTACACAAATGTAAAAATAACAAGAGGCATAAAAGCGCAATGTGTCATTTAAAGAATAGTTTTGTGGGAGAAGTTAACGTGAGTTAAGTGATTAACTGGCGAGCTAACGTTACATGAGGTTATTGATGTTCTAACATTAACGTTAAGTTAAACTTGTGTGGGCAAGTTACAACCTAAAAAATAAAGCCTTTAACGTCTTCACTTAAAACCGAAGAGGCTCAGAGTCAGACCTGCGTCTCACCGAGATTGTCACAATATTATACATCACTTATACTTAATATTATGTACATGAAAATAACGTTACCACGTAACGTTAGACTAATTTAACGTTAGACGGGTTGTGAACCCTGCTTGGTTTTCAGATAGTTAACGTTAGTAATGCAAAAACATCCCAAAAACCTTGGGATATAGTACACGGTTAATGTAACTCGGTTATTTTGCGATTTATGCTGCTTACTGTTTGGTGATGTGAAGCAAAAAACTTACTTGAACATGTCGTTTTGTTTTAGGGAGCGAGGAGCAAACTGCCCTGTTCATTAAACTGAGGGGGGAGAGCGACCACCTCTTCACCGGGGCAAAATTTTCTGCCAACGTGGCTTGGAGGTAATTAAAGTATCAATAGCCCTTTTGTAATATCTGCATTTAATCATCTTGTACTTAAAGTTACAGTTAAATGAGCCCCCATCCTATTCAAAGCCTTTTGTTTCTCTGTGATTAGGACAGTTTTGGAGAAAATGGGCCTGTGGGGGAAGGTGACTTCCCTCAAAGCAAAAAAAAGTGGGATAATAAAAAAAAAAAAAAAACAAAGTATGTATGTGTGATTTGAAACTTATATATTCTGTATACATTTTTTAAAAATAATTTTTGTATAAATCGTTCACTGTGTAGCATAAAGGGAACTACAAACTGCATTCATCTTACAAATCTGTTTTAATATAATACATACATTTACCTTGTACGTTGTATATTCATTTAATTCATTTCAGCCATGCACGTTAATAAACACAGTCGCTGAAATTTGTTTTTCTGCTGTTGTTATTTACCATGATTGATTTCCTGTGCCTTAGGATTGTAAGTGTCCAGGCTGTTCTCTCTACTAGAGAGACTTGCAGAAAAATAAATCCTTAAATAATAATATATACAATATTTATTATCAATTCAAATAAAATATTTGTTAAATAAATAATTTTATTTTCTGTGGTCTTTATAACTATTAGTATTTACAACATATTTACAACATTTATTCCACTGAGCAGGGAGACCCTGGTGATGCTGCTGGACCTGGATGGGCTGCCACAATAAAGACCATGGTCAGCAGGACATCATCTGGGGTGGTCTCCAGAGTGTGTTGCAGGTGTGGATGCATCTCTCCACTGTCCACCGCATCGTCCATCAGTGGGTTTGCAGGGCTGGTTCAATCGACGGCTTCCATTTCACTAAGATGTTTTAGTAAGATGCAAGAATAATAAGCTGTACACATAAAATACTAATTCACAATCTTATTTGGACAAAATAAATCTCTACAAAATATTTCAACAGGCGAAATTGTTAGGATATGAATAGGAATTTACCGATCTTTTACTTGCCTGTTAAAAATATTGGCGGTCAGGGGGCACCTCCTCCAGGGCAGACACCTCTGCAGACAGCTGGTCACGCCAGGGAGCACCACTGACCGTCTCCAAACGGTTCTCCCCCTCATCCTCTGCCACATCCTCCTCAGGCTCATCCTCTGGGGCCACAATGTCACCAGCCCCAAGGCAGATGTTGTGGAGGATGGCACATGCTGCTATGACCTGAAATGGTTACAAATATATTTCAGTCTAAAACATACTCACACGTGTGTACACGTGTGGTGCACCTCCAGCGCTTGCAGGAAGATGGCCCGGAACCTGGTCTTCATCATCCCAAAAGCACGTTCTATAATGGAGCGTGCCCTGGAGTGGTGGCTGTTGAAGCGCTGGGCTCCCACACCTTGAATTGGCCTCTTGTAGGGACTGATGAGGGGGAGTGGGTGTTGGAGGCACGGGTACCATCCGTCTGCAAGGATGAAATGCCCTGGAGGAGGGTAGCACGGGCGGCTGTGGCTCAGGAGGTAGACCGGGTTGGCCGTTAATCGGAAGGTCGGTGGTTCAATCCCTGGCTCCCCCCTCTCTCCCTCTTTATGGCTGTCTCTCTCTCTTGCCCTTTCTCACTCTCTCTCTCTCTCCCTCACCCCCAACCGGTCGAGACAGATGGCCGCCCACCCTGAGTCATGGTTGTGCTCGAGGTTTCTGTCTCCTAAAAGGAAGTTTTTCCTTGCTTGTTTCTTCTGTCTTCTGTGTTTCTGTAAAAGCGCTCTGAAATAACTGTTGTTGTGATTTGGCGCTATATAAATAAAATTGAATTGAATTGAATTAAATAATATACAAACCGACATTGTCTTACTGCAGGAGACTCATTTATCCAAGACAGCAGATAAACTCACCTCAGCACAGTTTTCTTACTCGTACTCAGCCTGTTATAACACCAAACAAAGAGGTGTAACCATTATGATAAATATGAAAATGCACTTCAATCATAATACCACTACTGTAAATCCAGAGGGTCGATTTATTATAGTTAACATTTGTATTTAAAATACTGATTTATGCATTGCTAATATCTATGGCCCGAATGTTGATGACCCCTTCTTTTTTCATGGTTTCTTCACCTCACTCTCGGCTCACTCGGACACAGCTCTTATAATAGGAGGGGACTTCAACCTGGTATGTAATCCAGCAGTTGACAGTATACAACAGACACCCTTAAACAATACATGAGCAATTTTGGTCTTCGTGATGTATGGCGTTCTCACCACCCCACTCTCAGAGAACATACCTTCTTTTCACCAGTCCACCACTCATATTCTTGCCTTGACTTTTTTTTGGTCAGCAGCTCAATTATGACAGACATCTCGAATGCTCAGATTCACCGTATCACTATCAGTGATCAAGCACCGGTTTCTATCACTCTGAATAAAAAAAGTCACACCACCAACTAGAAATTGGAGATTTAATACATCATTACTTAAATACATAGATTTTATTAGTTATTTCAAAAAGGAGTGGGCAATAATTATGGAAACCAAATGACCTTCAATACTAGACCAGTGGCATTCACTCCACTCTGTTCTTTTTATTCATTTTACTTTTTATATTATGGCTTTTAATGTCATGCAAATTGACACCTTTTTTTTGGACAACTTTGTAGGATGAATGTGGTGGGCTCATTCACTGGATTAGAAGTTTTTTAACTGACGGCCTTCAGAGAGTTTTAATGAATGGGGTCTACTCAGATGAGCTTGTTATAAATACTAGAGCACCACAAGGCTGTGTGTTGTCACCTTTGTTGTTTTCAATTTATATAAATGACATGACATGCAATGTTGAGTAATCTAAGTTCAGATTTAAGGAATACAAGTGTCAACAGAAAGCCTGCGTTACAAACTGGGGACAGAGTTTGAAAAATTAACCTGTTAGAAAGGTTCTAAGAAAAGATGCTCTGGAGATGCATGATACAGTGTCTTTTCAAACTTGACCTACACTAGGGACTAAAAGTCAGAATATCTAATCTCTGCTCCTTCTGCTTTTAAAAAGTCTGTCTCTCACATGTCCCAAAACTGGGGGAAAGGAAAAAGGGAAAAATAGAAACTTTGGATCAAGTGATACAATATCACACAATACCACATCACCAAGGTAAACAACTTTACCTTATTGGTGTGTGGTGTGGTAGTAAAACACTTGGACTTGACTGTTCACAGAGATTCACAGCACAGCTCTGCACAACTGTCAGCTGTAGATACATTTTGTAAACATGGTGGCTCAATGGTAGTGCACAACGGGGAAGTCCTGAGGTTTGAACCCTACCTGACCGACTGCGTGTTCTCCTGATGTCCCCATGGTGCACAGGTGTCCATTGTCCACAGGCTTACAGACTTGTCTATAGGTTTCCAACCTGTTATGGGTGCCCCCTAACTCTCTCCTATTGTTGGGTTTGCACCAACTCTGGATAGGCTGGGATAAGTGGATAGGATACATGCATACAGAAAATGTTTGAGTTTTGTATCAACAATAATTAACATATTATTTTGAATCTGTCTCAGGTGGAACCTAACCCAAAGCGCCTTAGTGCTGTTGAGAGACTAGAAGCTGACAAGGCCAAGTATGTCAAGAGCCAGGAAGTTATCAACGCCAAGCAGGAGCCAATCAAACCACCAATGCTGGCCAAGCCTCCCATCGGTCACACCCTCCTGTCCAAGAGAGGCTCTGGGATTGGTGGAGGAGGAAATGGAGGTGGGATACCTTTCAAAGCATCCAATAACAACGCCAAGTCAGACACATGTGCAACAAGCAGCGGCAGCAGCAAACGGGAGAATTTAAACCTGGAGATCCTGAAAAATCTGCTTAACTCATCGTCCTCTTCAGGAGCAGGATCTGAAGGGCTAGGAGGTGGAGCTAAGAGTGCGGTGATGATGAGGTCATCAGGGGGAATGGCCAGGAGTTGGACACCTTCAGGGTAAAATAATATTTGATAAGCTTTGCTTACATTTTGTGTAAATTACCGCTTAATCATTTATCAAATGGGTCACCCTGACTGAAATTCTCCAAATGTTCCCCTGATACATGGTTAATTCACCATAGTCTGAACTTAAATGCATAAAATAAGCTATTACCTGTCTATTGTGTATCAGATGTCTTGCCATTTGTGTGTTAATTGTAAAAAGTTGCATTTGGTCAGCAACAGCTACCAACTTTTCTTCCAAATGACTTTCTCTTAGTTTTTTTTATCTTAGTAAGGATGGTGGCATCCATGGTGTATAAAGGTTGGCAAGCTAATGTAGATAGCTATCTTAACCACATAGCCACAGGGTAGTATAAACTGGATTTGAAACACAGACCTGTGGATAGAAATAAGATAATACATTGTGCAGTATTATTTTTAGTACAGGGTTCCCGCGGCTCCTTAAACAACCTTAAAGACAATGCAAGACCCCACAATTAAAATAAGTTTTATGTTACTTTTACGTTAGCTGCAGCTGTTGACATCTGACTACATGTCATATCGTTATCGTCAGTCGTGCTTGCAAGATCGTGAGATAAGTTTAATAAAAAAGTGGTTAGTGGAAGTTGGTTGGTGGAGGTGGTTACATTCACGTGAGGCACCATAGGGGTGAAAACCGTTGAATTCCACAAGTTCTTAAATGCTCCAACGGTAAGCAGCGGCAACTTATGGGTCTATGCTAATGGCTGCATTGTTAGCACGTAGCAGACGTGCTAACAATGCATTCAAGTGCTTCAAATGCATTCAAGTCAACTCTGATAAGTTAGTCTATGTTCCTAATAGTCTATATCAACTGCACGAACAACCAGAGCTGTAAGGGCAGTAGCAGTGTCAGGGGTCATGGGGTTACCATGGGAGCTGGGTTGGGAGTCTGGGGCCTGATTTTAATGCATGTTTTAAATTTGTGTAGGAGGCATGTCCAAGCTTAAAGGTTGTTAAGTTGCTCTTCATGTCCACAAGTATGCAATGTGGGGAGGGACAATATTCAAATTCGGCTTATATTTATTGTCCACACTCTGAGCCTGATTTTGTCTTTGCCTACCCTGTTTTACTACTTTGCATGAATCTTTCTTTTTTCTGCTCCTAGGATGCCGTTAACTTACCGATCTACAATGACGCTTAATGAGCAACCACCAGACTCAGCTCCTAGTCCAAGCACCTCACATTCCCTCCGATCCTTCTCCCATTCCCTGAAGGTCCCTCCAGTCAACATTGGGGGGCGTCGCAGTCCACTCCAGGGAGGAAACCTAAACCTTAGTAGACGAGTCCTGGACGAGAGAGGAGGTGAAGGAGGAGTTATCGATCGCTCTCGTTCCCCACTACCACCTCTGCTCACCTCCCATTCCTCCTCTGACCTCCTGCGACTGTGCAATGGCAAGCCACTCCGCATGGCCCGATCCAGCAGCTCCTCAGCTCCACCCCTCCCTCCAAAACCCAACCCTGCCTCCCTCCCTCCTCCCGCACTTTCCTTGTCATTGCCTCCCCCTCATCCAACTCCATCCCCCTCGCCCTGTGACAACAATACCCCTCAGTCGCTACCTTGTGATATCGGAGACCCTTACAATACTTCAACAGATCCCACCCTGGAGCTTGAGCTTGGTTCATCCGTGGCTCGTCGCTCCTCGCTACACAGATCTAAATCAGACCTGTCAGACCGGTACGCCCGTGCTGGAGCTGATGTGGAACGTTTTTTTAACTATTGCGGCATCGACCCAGAGGAGCTGGAAGCAGTCGGTCCAGAGAACTTTGCACGGGCTAACTCAGATATCGTCAGCCTTAACTTTCGATCAGCCTCTATGATCTCCTCTGACTGTGACCAGTCTAGGCAATCCTCCAACGATGGACTATCAGATGCGGATGAGGGCGAGGAGGAGGAGGAGGAGGCAGGGGAGCGTGTTCCATATGGTATCTCTGCTGTTGAGCGAAATGCAAGAGTCATTAAGTGGCTGTACAGCATCAGACAGGCGAGAGAGACGCAAAAAGTCTCACATGTTTAGGACAAGCAGTAAAATGGATTGGATGTACTGTAAACTACAGACAAACTGCCCCATGTTTCAGAATTGATAGATGGACCAACATTACTTATAGGTTTAGAGACTGTGATCTTGTGGCTGAATTGAAAATTTGTCAAAATGTATAGATGGATGAACGAATGGAGGGAAGAGAAAGTCTAACACAAACTAGGTAAGAAAACAGACAATGTTTTGTTTAGATGTATGAAGAGTGAGGAAAAGGACTCCAATCCTCCCTGAATTAGAACAACATGAACACTAAAAACAGAAAGGAATTAAACTTGGACAGTCATATGAACAAAATCTAGTCCAGTCTAGTGTGGAGAGACAAACACAGGACATGTTTAAAAAAACGACAGATGTCTGTCAATTTGCTTGAGCAACAAGAGCGAAATGCACTACGATTGTCCAAGGACCCATAAAGTGACCGCCTCACTACACTACACGGGGTTATAGGCCATTCTCACTGACAACATTTTGGCTTGTCCAACATTACATTTGGGGGCAGCCTGGTTTCAGACCTATGCATAATCACCCACATCTGATTTGCTCAGCTATTCAAAAAGGATTGGTTTCATGTTTACTATTCATAGCGTTGTAGGAGGGATTATGAATTGAGACATATAGCCTATATAGCTTAATCTGTAAAAAATGCCAACATGATGTAAGTGTAAGTAATTAAAAAAAAACTCCCGCTGGGAATCCACATTAAAAGTGAGACGTAGCGTTCTGTATGATGAATCCGCACCAACTCCACTCTCCACTTTTCCATCTCCATCCTCTGAAGCAGTTGTCCTGTCAACAGCACCTGAGGAGATGAGAGGACACTGGCCAGACCAACTGTCCAGGCAGTCACACACGTGTGTCTCTGAATCAGTGTGCATTGACACATGTGAAAAAATGGAACATTTCACAACAACAGTTCTCACATTGCGCCTTTCATATAGAGCAGGTCTAGACCGTACGGTTTTGATATTATTCACAAAGACCCAACAGTTCCCACCATGAGCAAGCGCTTGCCGGCTTGCCTTTTAAGAGGCAGAAACCTCGAGCAGAACCATGGCTCAAGGTGGGCGGCCATCTGCCTCGACCAGTTGGGGTTGAGGGAGAGAGAGAGAGAGAGAGAGAGCCATAGAGGGCTGGGGGGAGTGGGGAAAGCAGCCAACACAGTATCCAGACTGAAAATGATGAAATAATTATAGAAATGATAATAATAATAACAAGTGGACTAGTAATAATACAACAAAGGGTGTTGAGCAGGAACACGGTAGCAGGTTCAATTGATATTAGGGCTTTGTCACAAAACCAACTTTAGACGATTAAGAATTAAAAGGTAATTTGTTTGAATTTATTTGTTGCAGAATTTACTTGATTCTGCCCATCTGCACTGTCTCTGCTGCCTCACTGAGTGACACAGCTAGCAGGTGACTTCACATTTGTTGTGCTAATATTACTGTAAGGCAGTCCGCAGTTATCCACAGTTTTTACATCTGTGGTGTCAAATCCAGAATTCTTCCTCGCATTATTTCTAAGGTGGTTTGGTATCACGATCATCTGTTCAGCACTTCACTAGTTTCCTGCAATTTGTGTTAGCAAAGAGCAACAACAAATCAGTGTCACAGTGCATTAACAAACGTTACTGTTGCACTTATAGAATGTGAATTTGAATTAAATTCAGATCAAATATTTATTTTATCCTATATTTATCCTACAATTGAACGGTACTTTCAATTTCAAATACAACCACCTTAATCAGTTTAATGCTTACTGGAATCATAGCTCCTGTGTAAACTAAAACTCACTACTGATTGGTCAGGCCAAAATGTCCACTTTGAGAAAGGCCTATGTCACAGTGTTGATCTCTCAGTTTAAACACACTTTGAAAAAAGTCCCTGATCTCTTTGAAAAACAGATACTGAACGCTGTCAAAAATGAGAAATCACTTTGGAAAGTCAGTGATGCTGGTACACTGTGCGACCGTAATGACGTCCACTCAGAGAAGTTACTTAATATTCATTACAGGTGACTGTTAAAGGAAACATGTATCAATGCCGCACTAACTTAATGGGTCAAAAGATTAGGTCATTAAGGAATCAAGGTATAAACTATGATATTGTAAATTATAGAGAAAGTCATGAAAAACAAGTGGTTATAAGCTAGCTTTCACTAAGCTTTAGCTCTTAAGCTAGTTATTGTAATTGCTAAATGAAGGCCTAGGAGTGTGTAATGTTTGAGTGACAAAGGAAACAGGATGTTGACAATGAGTCATTTAGACAGATGCTCACACAATATAAAATATAATCTCTCAATACTTATCTGTACGGCATTAAGGGCACACAATCATATCAATGCGTTGATTAAAAAATTTGTCATCAATCTGTTTATTTCAACCAACAAAACATTTCACTGGAGAGTTCTGGTGTCATGTGATGGGATATGGTTTTTCAAAGGCTGTTCCACACTGACAAGAGTCCTGACATGTATAAATATAGAAAATAAAGAAATAAAATAATAATTAATACAGTACACATAAATTTTGCCAACGTTAGTTCTTCCCACTATACATTACTTTTCATTGAAGTTAAACCATTGTATTTATATTTTACAGTTCTGATTTGAAAGAGTGTAATTTTCACATGGAAGAGTCACAATGTAAATTGTATTTGTACAATGACAATCATGATTAATGATAAACTCAAACATTTATTGAACATTTGTTAGGAAAACTATATTGTTATTATTATCATTGTTTTATTGTCCAGCCCTAAGTCATCAGTAACTGATAAACATTAATTTAGTGAGTTTGCCAAACTACTAGACATCCTTTCTATTGTGTAGTCAATGTCCTCTCTACATGCTGGTGTGGGTTTAACAGATGAAGAACATCACTATATAATGCTAATGCTTGATGCATAGAGAGTGGCCCGTGTCTTTATTCTCTTCAGAAAGACAACACTCATTTTCTTACTTAAATTAACTCAGTGATAGCATGATGGTGTTTTCAGACATTTAGCTGTCCAATGAATGAGTTGGCAGTCAGTACATATGACTTCATGTTTACTCCTCTTAGTTCATGTGTAATAAGTCAGTGAACATGAATGGGACCACAACTAAAAGACAACTATTCTTTATTTTCATCTTGTGCGAAGCAAATGAACCAAATTACAGGTGTTAAACGGATCAAACCTACACACATATTACAGATGCCATCACTTCTTTACTTCTTACTCGGTGAAAGTAAAAGTTCAACAGAGATGATCACTGGGATCAAATGAAGGACTGTTACAGGACACCAAAACTCTCCTTTCAAACACAATTATGCGATTATGTACACCACCGGGCACTATCAACCTGCACTGAAAGCAATATAAGTCTGTTCACTATTACAGGACATTTTACTATATGGTATTGCATAGGAAGGTGGAAGTATGCTCATGATCATTTTATATGTCAATGTTCTCTACAAATGCCACTTGAGATGTATAGGTGTTTATAGTTGCTTATACGGTAAATAGCGTCCTACAACCACACACAGGAGGAACTCCAGTAGTGGGTCTGCATTACTTCATGGTGGACGTGTCAATGCCCTCAGCTCTGCTTTCCCTCTCTCCACCTCTGTCTTCAAAACCAGCCGCAGGGAGAAACCTGTTAATGAAGGTTGGTCCATTACCAAGTTCACCTCCACCCTTACCATGTCATCTATGTAGATGTCTGCACATCGCTGACATGTCGCAAGGCCTGAAGTCATGGGTGTGAATGCAGCGCCTCAGTCAGTGTTTACCAAATGTCAGTGTGTCTGTCTGCCCCACCACCTCCCTTCACCTCACCTTAAATCAGTGGTGGAGTGTGTCCAACAGCAGCAACAACCCTGCTGGGCTTACTTCACTTTGCTGCACAGTACGCTGTATCAGAAAAAACATAAGCATCAACACCTGAGGCGACCTCAGTCCCTTTCATTTTGACAGGTAAAAGGTTTGGAATGCACATGGGAGAGTGGGGTGAGATGGGCCACATATTAGTGGAATATATCTAGTCCTTAGATAAAGGCTTGCTGCTGTCTAACACCCCATTTACGCTTTTTATGCGTCCGGTAGATCAGATAGCTATCCAGTATCAAGAACGTAGAGTAAATGCAACCGAGAAACACCAAAAGACAGACTGAAGTCGGGTTGTTCAAACAAGATCAGGACACAGTGTGAGAAGTTTTATTGGTAAATATATCTGTCTTGCCAAGTCACATAGGTCATATCATCATAGCCTTTGCTAACTTGTAGCAGCTGAGAAAACATCTGGTGTTTTGGTCTGGCTATTTTCAAGCTCAGAAAAACTGAAGTGGCATACAGAGTAGAGCAGGATGTTCTGCTGACACATTGTATTATACAACAGTCCTCCTAAGAAACACTCTGAAACCACATTAGTTTAATGTAAGTTACAACTCACCATTAAATCCGAAAGTCATCATACGCTATGAAACCGCATTTTGGTCATGCAATACTAAAATTTGAGATTAAAACTTGAGGTTAGTAGCGTTAAGACCTCAGTATGCTTCACATCAACTCATCTTTGGATTGTTTAACAGCATCTGAGAGCCTATCCAGCAGTCAAACCCACATCACACAGTGATTGATAAGAAGTTTGAAAGCAGGCAGGCTTTGAACTGCCCTCGCTGTGCAAACAATATTGCCTGTATACTGAAACACACCTCCTCGTAGTGTTTATCTAAAGTCCTGCGTTACAAATGACTATTCTGCCATCCTTCCCCCCCAGAGTACCTGGAACTTGGATAAAGTATATGGAAATACAAAGGAAATTTTGTACTAAAGCGAAAGTAACTTTGGAAGATTGATATGGCTAAGTCAGAGTACTAAAGCCTCATTAATTAACAGCTGAATTTTAGAATCCCCAAGGCAGGATTTTGTCCCTCACAGTGTAGTCACGCCACAGTGGTTAGCATTTCATGGCCAGTTCTGACCGGTGGAATAATAACCAATACATCTTTAAACATACATATGGGCATATCAAGGTCAATTTGAAAAATCCAAACATGTCATTAAAAAACACTGCCAACATATCCTAACAAAATAATAATAACAAAATATTCATATACTCACGTTTGAGCAAAACAGCATTGTGGGAGTTGTAGGAAGTTTCCATTATTGATGAATCCCTTCTTCCTAAATTAGACTACAGTGGAAGTGAAGTGAACCCATCTGGGAGAAAGACCCTTCCCACATCTCCTCACTCTTAGCGCAGGGCTGTGCTAGCATGTTCCTGTCCATTACCCTGATCTGTCATTTCCACTGACCTTCCCCCCGGAACCCAGGAAACCCTGCTGCTTCACACTGTCAGCATTTACAAAGACAATATTGTACCTTTCTGGCAGTAACATTATGCTTCACTTTCACCTTCGTCTACATGGTGTGTTTTTGTTTATTTTCTATCTTTGGCTTAACAGAGATCTTCTGTGGTATTTGCTTTGTTTTATTTTTCTTCTATGTCTAGATGCTGTAAGAAAAACGTATATATTTGATTTAAGAAAGCAATGTGTTGGATTTCGTTTTTTTTCTCTGTCTGAAGGTTTATGTGTTACAAAAGATTCCAAACAAAAACTCCTCGGTACAGAACTGCCTGATCAAACTCGGCAGGGTTGTTTCAACTTAGACTTAGTGTTGACTGTTTTTTGACGTGGAAACTGTTACATTTTGCTTGATTAAAGAAAAAAAGTGTTCATGTTTAGTTTCTTTTGATAATTTCAATAAATGGCTTCTTTTGCCATTTCTTGCCACTGATGTTTGTTCAAGTATTAATCCCTTAAAGTGAGATTATAGCTTTTGCTGAACAGCGACTGACGATCACAGGATAATGGCACATCGAATTTCACTTTATTTCCAAAGATTCTCCTAAGTCAAGCCAAATCCTAATGTGCACCCTCCGGACTTTGCACTTGCGTACTTTTGTCATACATAAAGTGATGTGTCCATCATCACCACATCAAGTCTGCGGGGGTGCAGGGTTGAAAGGGGTTGAAAGGCCTTAAGTGGTTCCATGGAGTTTAATTTAAGTTTCTGAAACTGAAACTCATATCAAAGTAGTTTTCTGAATGGTTAAGGATATTGATTTTGACAGCTTATGTGTATTATGTGCATGATCTGCTGCAATATGTAGTATTGTATTATTATTATTCTTTTACATTGTCAGATCCATATTTCTGTGGATTCTATGTATTACTCTCTGGAATCTTGCAGGAAGTCCTCTTGAGGCTCCTTGTGGACTGAATTATGGAAGACAGACCTAGGCACTTCCCTAACACCGTTATGTCTACAAGTGCTGTGAAGTCTGGAAATTTAGATTCAACCTCAGTTTCTATGAAGACATGAATGAAAACTCGAGCAAGCCCACCATGAGCAAGCACTTGCCGACAGAGGCCAGGAAAAACGTATTTTTAAGAGGCAGAAACCTCGAGCAGAACCATGATTCAGGGTGGACGGCCATCTGCCTCAAACGGTTGGGGGTGAAGGAGTGAGAGAGAGAGAGAGAGAGAGAGACAGCAAGAATATTGTTACAAATAATTTGTTGTATGTTAATTATGATAATGATAATAATAGTAATAATAATAATAATAACAGTAATAACAGTAGGACTAGTAACAATAGTCGTTGAAGCAGAGGGTGTCGAGCAGGAACACGGGGGCAGCAGGTGACCCGCAGCCACAGATCCAGACTCCACAGCTCCAGAGCCAGAAAACCTGCAGGAAGTGATAGGAGAGAGGAGAGGGACGAGAAAGCACAAGACTACCGGAAAGGGGAGAAGTTGTGTTGGTAACATGCAATAATGGGATGAGGTTGCATACAGAGGGAGAGAAAGTAGAGGAGAGAGGAGCTCAGTGCATCATGGGAAATCCCCCGGCAGTCTAGGCCTATAGCAGCATAACTAAGGGATGGTTCAGGACTACCTGAGCCAGCCCTAACTATAAGCTTTATCAAAGAGGAAAGTCTTAAGCCTACTCTTAAATGTGGAGATGGTGTCTGCCTCCTGAACCCAAACTGGAACCTGGTTCCACAGGAGAGGAGCTTGATAGCTGAACGCTCTGGCTCCTAGTCTACTTTTGGAGACTCTAGGAACCACAAGTAACCCTGCATTCTGGGAGCTGGTGGGGTAGTAAGGTACTATGAACTCTTTAAGATAAGATTGTGCCTGACCATTAAGAGCTTTGTAGGTAAGAAGAATGATTTTAAATTCTATTCTGGATTTTACTGGAAGCCAATGCAAAGAAGCTAAGACAGGAGAAATATGATCTCTTTTCCTGGTTCCTGTCAGAACACGTGCTGCAGCTATTTTTTCAAGGAATTGCATTAATCCAGCCTAGAAATGCATGAGCTAAGGATGTTCCTGATTTTCGCAATATTACGTAAGTGAAAAAAGGCGGTCCTTGAAATTTGCTTAATGTGAGACTTAAACGACATGTCCTGATCAAAGATAACTCCAAGATTCCTCACAGTGGTGCTGGAGGCCAGGGCGATGCCATCAAGGGAAACTATATCTTTAGATAATGCATCTTGGAGGTGCTTGGGCCCCAGTACAATGACCAGGCATGTGCACACATAGACATCAAAAGGGGCTCAAGGACCTGCCCTTTTTTTTTTCTGGGGTGCTTTTTGCGCACAGCTTTCCTGTCAAACAAATATATTCACTGAATAAAAAATCCTACCTCCCTCCCCCTCTCCCTCCCTCCATGTCTCCATGCAGCAGCGCAGCACACGCAGGCAGGCAGCAGCCCCTCCCAGCTCTTCTCCTAGCTGGGTTTTCTTGGCTTGTGTGGAGGTGAGTGGTGTTGAACAAAAGACTAAGCTACCAGTGCCTCGAGTTTACAGCTAATTAGCCAAAAGGCAAATATATGTCTTGCTAACATGCATGACTCATGAGCTGAGCTAATGTAGCTGAAGTTAGCTGAAGTTTAGCTATGACAATATATCAGGGCCATACAGGCGAGTGTATTGTACATTGGACACACTACAGGTGAATGCAGTAAAATTTGTGTCTAATAACGTCATCCCATCGCCACCTTCATATGCAAATTAGGCGTTAAATGCGCTCCTTTGCACACATTAGCCAAGGCAATGCATGAGAATAGGATAAACACAATAACTAAAGCATATCACCACAGAACTTCCCCAGTTAATGACTTACACAAAGAGGCTTTCCCCCTGAAATGTTGTTTAAATATGCAGATAAGCTTGTTTTAGTCGATTTAGAAAAAATCTATAGATGCAAACTGATGGAGAGTAGTAGGCTTAAAATAAACACCATCTAAAGGTGTTTTGTGCAAGTGTTCTTTCCATTTGGGTAAAAGAAGACATGGAAGCAAAATAGTCCAGAATCTCAAAATTGACCACTGCATGCCTTAAACAGTAACTTTATATTTTTGATCGTTGGCTCCTCATCTAATAACTGACCATTCTGTTAGTTTGTTTTATGCTGATAGATCTTAACATGATACAGACAGCCCTCCCTCAAATGTGAAACTAAATCTTTGTCAACATCAGTTACTGTGTGTGTGTGTGTGTGTGTGTGTGTGTGTTAAGTGTAATTATAATAGTAATAATAAAGTATTTGATTAATACATGAATGTATTCAGACAATTCAGTATTCTGTTGCTTGACTGTGTGAAGCTGAAGGTTATCTTGCTTGTGAAACAAAAAGTATTTAAATTTAAAAAAAAAAATCATGCCTGCAGCACAATGCCACAGTTTAGCATGAAGATTTTTGTTGATTTTGAAGAGTTATGTATTACAATGACCCAAAAGAATTAAAACAATGTATTGCCTTGTGAAAAATAAACAAATTATTAGTGAAACTATGTCCCTCTCCTTGGTGCAGTCATTTATTCTAAATATTTACTAGTAGCATAGAAAACATGGACATTGTGGCATAGTTTCCTTTGAATACTATGGAAGACCATGGTTTCTATGTAAATTGATTATTATTTGAGTATGAAACAATTGTGTGAGTGTAAGGGAATTAAAAGAAATGGTAAGGAAGTCAGAGTTGTGTTAATATATTTAATATTATAATATATAAAATGCTGGGCAATGATTAAAATTTTTAATCGTGCTTAAGACCTTTTAGTGTCTGTATTTGAAGAAGCCATAGAAAAAGGAGATTTACTACCTACTATGCGTCAAAGTCTTATTAAATTGATCCCCAAACCAAAAAAAGATAAATTAAGTATTGAGAATTGGAGGCCAATTAGTCTGTTAAATAATGACGCCAAGACATTTGCTTTGATCTTTGCAAAAAGATTAAAATCAGGATTGGATAATATTATCGATGAAGAACAATCTGGATTCATGCCTGGTAGGAATATATGCAATAACATATGGTTAATTCTAGACATGATTGATTATTATGAATATATAGTGGACAATAGTTTTATTTTATTTGTTGACTTTTATAAAGCATTTGACATGATAAGCCATCAATTTATGTTTAAAGTCATTAAATGCTTTGGATTTGGAAACCAATTTCTAAATGCTGCCAAAACATTTTATAAAGGGTGCAACAGCTCAGTTAAGTTAGCACATGGCACGACCCCTAGATTTGATATTGGTCGTGGAAAAAGTTGGAGTAAGGTTGTCCCCTTAACCCCTTTCTGTTCCTTCTTGTTACACAAATTATGGCCGTACACATTAAAGAAGGGCAGTTTCAACGTGTAGTATCCTTAAATAGAGAATTTAAATGATTTCAACTGGCAGATGAGACTATTTTTCTGTCAAATAAAGAGGAAGTGATCAAAGCAATTAGTTGTATTGAGGATTTTTCTATTGTTTCAGGCTTAACAATGAACCGGAACAAATCTGTATTATTACCACTTAAACAATGTGACCAATCAGAAGTAGACAGTATACCTGTGAAGAACACAGTTACATACCTAGGTGTAGTCATAGATAAGAATGAGAAACTCCATAGTAACCAAAACTTCAGCCCTATAATTGAACAAATAAAGAGAAGGTTCAAACATATGGTTGATGAGAGTATATATCTGGTAAAAAAGACATTTGAAAGATTTAGATTGAATATTGAGTATTCTTGCACTTTCTGTCAATTACATGAAGAATGAATTTGTCATTTGTTTTATCAGTGTATATACTGTAGAATGTTTTGGTGGGATGTTGAACTTTATATGAAAAGGAAAACTAGAAAAACGTTTCAACTTCAGGAAAGAGACATTCTTATATGTTTTGAAAGAAAAGGAAAAAGACGTAATTTTTTTGTACACTTGGTATTATTATTGGGGAAATTCCACATCCACAAGAAAAAATGGACTGACTCCAAACCACACTTAGGACACTTTCTCCAAGAACTGCATCAGTATAGCACCAGAATTAAACACATTAAGAACAAGAAGGCAATCAAGACTAACTGTGTGTTTGACAAATTTCTTTTGGACAGATGATACATTACTTTGAATCCACATTACCCTTTTTTTATTATTATTTCGTAAAGTATTTTCTCTTCTTATACAGCTGCCCCTGATTGTTTTGTGTTTTAAATTTTGATAAATATCTGAAAGAAAAAAAACAAAAACAAACCAACCCCCCCCCCCCCCAATTTCTAACCAGCATGCCTTATTTTAAGTCCAGCATGCATCACGTTAAGATGAAGTCAAACGCACCTAATGAGTTGTGCCATTGAAATAAAGAGCAAGTCAGAGACATTGTGGACATTTTAGGAGAAGAGATAGATAATGCATTGAGGGAAGAGTTCACACCAACTCAGACAAAGG